TGTGAGCACAATCCGGTGGACCCTTGCATGGGACATGAATTTTTCAAGCTGATCGACCTTTTCAAGGTCCATGGTCTGACACCTGAGTGATAAAACACTGTACAGTGGTTTTCCTGTCCTCATGCAAGTTTTACTTTGTTAAACTACCTTGTATAAGTTGGATCACTATATAGATACCAAAGTTTAGAAAAAAAGAAAAAAAAAAGATCATCCCTACCTACCGACCTTAATTCTTTCAGAAATTCAGGACTGAAACATGAAACACTACATTTTTTCCTACTACAAGTTTTTTCTACTATTCGTTCTTGCATGGCATCAAGTGTTAACGTGTACTGCTTTGTTTCATACCTTGTCTAATTGTAAAGTATCGAATGGTTCTTGGTATATTCATCTTTATATAATGTACAGTCAAGTAGAAAGTGTATCTCGTTTTCAAAATGATCACAGAATCCGCATGTTCTATCTTTCAGAGGGGTACGGCTATGCCTGCCGGATTCTATACGTAAAGTTTGCAAAGTTTACACCTTAGTTTGTTGCCTTGGTTTCAGAACTAGTATCGATACTATCAATAACTTAACAAATCTTCCCTTCGCAGCTTGATAAACAGGTCCTCAGATAGGACCCTCAAGTCCTATGATAAAGGACTACTTACATGTCTAATATTTGTTTTCTAAAAATTGTAGTACCTAAGGGTTCCTTTTTTTAAAATTTCGACATCTGCATTCTGTTAGGGAGTTCCTTGAGTGATATGGTATGGGTATGGCTGTCTGTTGTGACATCATAAATCAAATTGACATGACAATGGGTCTGTTATTTGTATCTGGCCTGCTGCCTACTGTATTTTGGTGGGGCCATTATAGTGAGATTTCAAATGTAAAACTGGGAGAAAAGGTTGTGAAGACTTAAAAACTTTATTATAAGCTTTATGTAACTAATGTCTCAGTGAACAATTCTTCAAGCTGAGTTTTGTGCAGAACTGACCTACTTAGTAGCGGTAATTTAGATATTTTCCTCTGTCAGTCTGTGACAGCCGAATCAAAATACAACAAGACTGGCAATGAAAACATACATTGCCATGGCTATGCATCAATGTTACCAGCAAACATGGCTGGTATGACTAAAATGCTATAAGCCGTGTATATATTAGAGAGAGGAGGGAGGGAGAGATGAGAGTATGCACCTGAATAGTGGAAAATAGAAATCATGCTTCTTTTTCAACAAGATCTATACTCTGATGATTTCTACAACTATAATGTACAAAATGGGTGTACATTAGCAGGTAGACAATAGTGGTTCGATGGTTCGATGTGCATGACTTCAAAGTTACCAAGTTGAACACTAAAAGATTCCATATGCAGGTGGTGGTTTTAACTGTACAAAGGAACAAGAAATATGACCTATAAGCTATATACTTTACTTTGTATGTACGGCAAATGTTGCAATTCGCAACATATTGGTTTATCGTCGTGATGAATACTCAGCATATGCTATAGACAACTTTAGATGAAGGCAAGATGGTGATGAAAGCACATTAAAGATGGGCATGGTAAACTGAGCTAAGAACTTCTTACTTCACTTACCCTAAGCGATTTCATTACCAGTTTAGAAATTTAGAATGTCTTCTGCTTTGCATGGGTTGATAAGAACAATCACCCTAGCATCTGCTTGGAGATTACCCCGCATGTCCATTTCCGGAGACACGTAGACCACCAAGTTTTAAACTGTACTCAGTATTTTGCATAGCATCGACACTAGTCATTTGATGTGTATGCCTCACTTTACCATTCTTGATTTTGTGCGAGAGAGCGTCTGAGGTATTCCATTTACGAATCATTGGCACTTACAACTACCATGGCATCATTGGGATTACCTTAAACACTGACACTTGCACGAATCACGTATGAGTTGTAGGTCAGTGTTTGGGCAGTTTGTTCTTGGCGATCTTACTAACATTTTCCTGCATTTGGTTGGATTTAGCGACAGCTTATTTGCAGAAAACCACTGTGCGAGTGTGGTAGCGTCGCCCTGTAGTGCCTGCTGGACTGTACGGATGTTACGTGCCGCGAAGTAGATTATCGTATCATCGGCATACATGGCAATTTTGCATAACTGAATGCAGTTAGGAAGGTCATTTATATATATTATAAATAAGAGAGGTCCAAGGTTGGATCCTTGTGGTACTCCACAAGTGACGCTGATTGCTGATGATAACACGTTAATGCACGTGTACTGTGTTCTCCCGGTTAAGTTGTCATGTTTAAGTCAAGTTGGTTATAATATTGAGGTACACTCACGATTAAACTCCACCAACAGCCGGACCCATGAGGACCAGGCCGACACCCTGGAGTAATGAATGGTCTACCCAGGGTCTCACCAGATTTGTTCTAGCCTGCCCAGCCATGTGTTTTCCTGGCTCCAGGCGGCCTCGCCTCGGACTGGTCCTCAGGCTCGTCGTCCATCATGTATATGTAGTTCTGGGGCTGGGCCTCTGGGTGGACCTGGTATTAGGACATAAACACTTGTCAGTTGTGACATAAACAGTTGTGTGTAATTGTAATCTCAATGAAAACAATCTGCAGTCTTACTAACACAGGAGAATTATACTATAAATGTACAGTCTAACAATTTACAAGAACACATAAAGATGTGTTGAGAATATCAAATTACTCAATACACATGTAGGCAACAAAAATCAAAGAATAGTCATGCTTCAAGTTAAACAAAAACTCACCTTAATCTTTTCTGTGATGTGTGGGAGGGCTGTCTTCTTTTGGTCCATGCCATCAATTATTATTGACATATACTTTCCTGGATGTTCCCTTGCTTTTCGAATGTGTTTATTGTATTTTGTGCGTTCATTTCTGAAAAGAAGAACAAAAAATAACTGTCACCTGTGTACAATCTAATAAAGATACATTTCCTCTTAAAAATCTTACAAATTATGCAATAGTGACAAAAGCCGTTGTAATTTTCCTGTACAGTTTGCGCCTCAGCAGATTTTCTTAGTCCGCTAACATAGTACTCCCAGACATCATCTTGTGTGCTTATATTAATGTTCTCAGACAGGCAGATATCTATATGTACATTGGTATGTCCTTTTGGCTACTCGAGCGGACATATATTAAATATGATTTTCTATTTCATATTTTATGTCTGACAGACTGTGACCATTCCACTACTGCAAACAAAAACAATAGGTGGTGCATTATTCCAAGACAACGTTTACGCCCCGACCACTCATGATCAACAACATCGACCTCCAGCATGTAAATGTAATGAAGATCCTGGGACTATATCTCCAAGCTGACATGAAGTGGAATTCTCAAACTGACTCCATCTGTAATAAGGCAAACCAACGTCTTTACTTACTTCGAAAACTGAAGCACTTCCGCGTTCCAGCTGATGACCTGGTAACAGTCTACACCTGTTACATCCGTCCGGTTCTCGAGTATGGGGCACCTGTTTGGCACTCTGGTTTGTCTGCGAAACTCAGTAACAGAATCGAGAATGTCCAGCGCCGTGCGTTGAGAATAATCTTGAGTGAGGATTTCACCTCTTACCACAAGGCATGCGCACAGTTCAACCTACCAACACTCAAGTCACGCCGTGACAAACTGACAATGAACTTCGCTAGATCACTTGAACGATCTAAGCTGCACAGACACTTATTGCCACCTCCAAGAGTTGAAATCAGTGGTAGGACGACCCGCTCATCCCTTAAACTGGACACTGCCTTCTGTAGAACTGAAAGATACCGAACAAGTGCAATTCCTTACATGATACGGATGCTGAATTTGTAGCTGCTCTTTACTTCGTTGCCCTACTTATAACCTAATGCTGCCATCTATTTGTATGTACGTGTACTCAAATGTTTTAATATTCCCAGAAATTTTATTCAAATGTACATACTAGAATCTACTCGTTGCGCCACACTTAATCATTTTATCCCGATATGCTTTTAACTTTAATGTTCAATGTTTTAACCAACCACTTGTTATCAATTGTTTTTATTCAATGCGCTACCTACATACCTCGATCTTAAATATTATACGTTAGACTGTTTATTTGCGTAAATCTATTAATCAATTGTAAATGTATCACATAATTCAGCCATTGGCTGCGAGGTGTAACTTGAATTTGAAATAAACCATTATTAAAATACAGCGATGGCTTCACCACATTATACGACATGGCAGGGAAAGAATGAGAAACACAAGGGAAAACAATGCTCAGTTACGCTGATATAACTTTAGTATGAAGTAACATATAACTAAGACAACAACAGGTGGATAGCTATTCCCTACATTATTGGTTAAATTTTGAAGGCATATCCTCCGAGGTTCACGAGGTAGTGTTGAAGGGTGGCTGAGGCCTTTTTGGATGTTTAGAAAACAAGAGTTTGGTTTACAGTTAGACCCTAATATTTTGAAGATAGGTACCTTGTTGTAAAATGATAATTTATGCAAATTTTTGTGACGTCAGGATAACGTCATCATCAGTTAATGGGCCACGCCCATTTTTAGAAAAAAAGTTTTTTTGAGCCATCGTTCTGTTCTATCTCTATAATATTTGGCTCAAATGTGCACAATAATAATACTAACAAACGTACGTCAGCATTTTTCGGTTTTCTTAACGGTTGATTTTTCGCGAATTTTTTCGCGAATTTCGGCGGAGAGAGCCCTCACACATTCATGCCGCCATGCATCGCGTCGGCCTGACGTACGTTTTTAGTTTAGAGGCTTATGTTTAAAATATGACAATTTTTTGTCCCTTTCTATGAGCAGCTTTGCCACAGTTTTGTCTTAAAAATCGTCTGTTATTGTTGTGGTTACGGCATATCCGTTTAGAGCTCTCAAAACTGCACGGATGTCTATATTTTCGCCAGCTTTGAGTGAGCCCCTTTCACTTCCGGTAAAACCCAGGTCAATGACCTTTCTACGTGCTGTAGATAGCGTACAGAAAGCGAGAAATGGGCCCTCCCTTTTCCAGAGGGGGTGAAAGGAACGGCGAAATACAGCCGCGTGGAAAATGCCAGTCCCGGAATGACGTCATCGCCCCAGCCTCGTTCTGAACCCACTCCCCAGTTCCAAAAGTTCCAAACAAGATGGCGGGTGGTGGCCAGCGGAAAACATCGTCAGGAGGCAAAATCAGAAAACCGCGGAAAAAACAGCGTTTTTCTGCACTTAATGCACTCTCGCATGCTAAACGGGGAGTAGGGAAAGGTTCCAGAAGCCGGACATTCGTGCCACCAGTCGGATATACCGTCACAGCTTACGAGAAAAGCCAAGTTATGACTACGCCAGGAAAGCACAGATACAGAAGCGTGGATAGCGCAGCCGAAACAGTGCGGGAAAGGTAAGGCTCTATAAAACCCCTTCAAGTCTCAGATTTTATCCCATGCTGCCTGTGTTTCTGTTCGAGATTGATATTAGCGTTTCCACTCGACGTAGTTGATTTTTTTTACTTACGGTGAAAGATAAGGCGTCTTCAAAGTTCAAAGGCCCGATACCGACGCCTTCTTTGATATTCATTTTTTATCTTTGAAGAATTTACATCTGTATACACAAGTGTTGGTTCTCTTGTCTGTGCTGCAAAACTGACTCGTACATATGTATTGCTAGCACGCAGCAGCCTTTATTATGTTTAGTACTTCGGCTCAGTTTTTAGAAATTATGCAAATGACGAAATAGGCATTTTATTCTTTTTAGTCAAACGTTATTGAAATGATGACTGTAACTTATGCACATACGTATGCGTGAACCCATAAAGTGATCTCGTTACAGGGTTGTACCTGTGTCTAAAGAAAATGAAACACAGTTGAGCACATATTTTACACCAGGTGAAAATTTATTGTTTCCATTTGAAAGCTGGAAATTTAGCACTTATTGAAAATCCTGGAATGAGTAAAACCCTCATACCATCTTGCTTTTACCTCATTTCTCATACAAAAACAGATTATTTACCAGTAAAAGAATTGTTTGGTATACATATATACTATTGACCAAACCTGTTTTGGTTCAGACAGCAGGTCAATGAATGTCTGTATGTAACTCTGTGTCTGTATTTTATTTCTTTTCAAATTAGACTTGAAGCTCCTACTAGTATATCATTGTGTTAGACCATTTTATACTTGTAATGTGTAGAATGTCAGCATTGGCAGTCCAGTCTTGAAAGACTATTTCTTCTATCCTGGAAAGACACCGTCTTCTGTGGCTGTGAAGTCTGATATGTGAATTACAGTCTCTGCCATATTTGAATACTTTACAAAATAATCAGTTGTCATTGTAGTTCTAACATTATATCTTTATTCCTCAGGGGTTTCAATAAGAGCTTGATCTTCGAGACCTCATCCGAGGAGGACCAGCCGTCAACATCAGCAAACACGGAGAGCACTCCATGTGAGCCAACCACTAGTAGTCCTCTGTCCGAGGAAACACTGGATACATCCGCCAGCACCTGGAAGGCAATGGCAAAATCCATGTTCATCGCATATGGTGACTCTGTGGGATACTTGATTGATCAGGTGGGTAGTACTAGTAAGAAACTAGCAAAATGCAATTGAATATTCAGATTGTTGTCCATTGTCACCTGTCGCGAGTACTTCATATCAGTAAACTCGATTATAACATTTTAGACAGTAAATAATCCAAGAGATATGTTTTACTCATTACTGTCCTTTTTTTTCTTTTTGAAAGGGCAATTTTTTATATATTTTTTTCATAAATTGACAGATGAACCACAGTAGAATGAAATACTAGTTCATGTTAGTGCATGTAAAATTGAAGTTGTGTGGGTATTTCTGATGTCTACATCCATGCACGTATATGTTTTTTTTTTACTTGCTGTATTGACTGTTGCCACTTATGAAGTAAAAGAGTAATGGCACTGTTTTCTGAACAGTTTTCATTCTGTTGGTACCCTGGTTAGGGGTCATAGTGGGGAACCTATGCCCAATTTTTTTCCAAATGTCAACAGTTGTTTTTTTCAGCAGTGTATATTCTGTACTGGGTTGTATTATTTTTTGTACACGGTTGATTTCTAGACTAGTATACACTCTTACCTTAGTACCTATTCTGTACATGCTTGTATTTTTTTACATCCTTGACAATAGATGAAAATAACCAAAGCTGGCAAGATGACATCAGAAGCTTATGGAATAAGTGTGTTTGCATGCTAGATTAGCCTTGGCTTGATTTTTCACACCACTACCGGTATTTTAGAGAAGAACAAAACCTGAAGTCAGAGAAAATGGTGTCTTCCATTTGTATCTGGACAAAGAAAATGCTATAACTTCTCTCTGGAGGGAGGCTGGACTTTCTCTCCCCTCCAGACTATGTCCCCAAGACTGATGGTGCTGCACACCTTCCTCCGGGATATTCTCAATATTTGGGGAGAGTTCTGAATGATCAATACTTTCTAAAGACTTCGTAGTGTGGGTAAAATTTGTCTGCACCTGCACCAGTATAGGTTTGAACCCCGCACAAAATAGTTAAATATATCAGACAGTCATAGTGTCAGCTAAGTATTTTTTTTTAACTAACAAGAATTGTTTTCCCTCCACATTAGGTAAATGCAAAAAGAAACTGTTCGACAAAGGGATGCAACGGTATTTTGGTACCTTGGAAAACAGAACGAGTTGGCTTGGGAGGCAACCTGAGGGCTGTCTTCATGTGCACTGGCTGCAAAGGTGGGGGTGTAACGTTTGATGCCTCCACATATTTGCGAGAAGAGAAGAGACAGGTTGCTGGGCATTCTTTGGCCCTCTCTTTCATTTTGAATGGGAACACGTACGAGAAATATAACCAGGCTCTACACCTCGGTCTTGGTATCCCCATCTTTTCCTTCAACACATATTACAACATACTCAGCAAGGCCTATCCACACGTCCACAACATCCTAGATGTACAGATGAAGAAAGCCCGGGCCAATATGAAGGAGATGGACCCAACTAAAGTAGGTAGCTGGAAGAGAGCTGTAACATCCGGTGATGGCGTCTATCATACGCGTGGGCATCACAGTAAGAACATGTCGGTGCTTCTCGTGGACTACTGTGAAAATGCGCTTCTTGCAGCAGTCCATCTCTGCATGAGGGGTAAAGACGTCACCACAGCAGACAGCGTACCCCTGTTTCCAGGAACCTCAAAGTCAGCCGAAGGGTATGGCTTCGAGCTTATATGGGAAGAACTGAAACACGAAGGCATGGAAGTAGAAGTCCATTGGCAGGACGCCGACAGTACAAGCGAGAAATCCTTTAAAAAGTTCTTCTCGAAGTCCAAGGTCATGTACTGTGGTGGCCACGTGGGCAGGGCCCACGGAAAGCAGCTGGAGAAACTGGCATCCATGAAAACGTTCTCTAAGGGCTACAAACAGAGACATAGTACGTACGAACTGGACAAGCTAAAATGTGTTTGCATCAATAAACACCACTCTGCAACCTGCGGTTGCATCCGCCCTAACATGATCAAGCAAGCAAAGATCAATCACTTCGCAGCTCTGGTGCAAAGTGGAACAGATGCTGCACTATATGCAAAGAGGATGCGAGCCCTTGGACAACATCATGCAAGGAACATTCACGAGTGGAAAGATGGCAGCTGTGACTTCCACGGAAAGAAGAGGTGCTCATGCAAGAAGTGTGACCCACTAGATGTGCAGTGTACCGGTGAGATGTACAAAACGTCCCATCCTCTCACCTGCCCCATGCACAGTATGGCCTACGAAATAGAATGTGAAGAGCGAGCGGCAAAAGCAAAGGATGTGATCCATCCAGAAATGGGTCGAGGCCACTCGAACTATCCCGAGGCCAGGAACAACGTCCTGATCAGGTTTGTGTGTTTGCCTCTTTTATATTTACCTAACACAGTAAACCCTTTTCATGTGATTGTGAATGTCTGCATTCACTGGGACTAATTAATGTGTTTTCGATCCATTGCTTAGTGATATGCACTATCAATTATCGCTAGTGAGACCATTTTGTTTCAGAGTGCACACCATACGCTGATATGCATGTAATTGTGTTGTTAGTGCCCAGTAAAAGACAGCTGCAGATTTTTTGTATATACTGTTCCACAACAATGACATCCCCATACAATGTTGTACAACAGTCTGAATTCATGTACACTTGAAAAGATGGCAAATATATATTGTGTATGTGTGCGTGTGTGTGTGAAGAATATGTACTTATTTTTGGTTGCAGGTACAGGTCCAAAAGCATATCCCTGAACAGGCTAGCCTATTGCCTTTGGACAGATGTTGGCCTCTTACAAGGCAATATGTCGTGGTGCTTCAGGGAGTTCGGCCCTGCCTATCACTGGATCGTTGAGGTTTACAGAGCTATGGAGCTTCCTGTACCAGAGGTGTGTTGTTGTTCTCTAATTTTTTGTTCAAATAGTAGACATTTGAACAATGGCATAACTGGGATGTCTATGTGGAGGTCATTATGGCCATTTTGTATGTTTTTCACTGTTGCGACTTCTTTGTACCTTTGTTGAGTTGACACCGCACAAAATCCCCCGTTTCCGTGTGAGAAATTGTCGCACACTTTCCCGGATATTTTAGGTTTCCGGTAGAACCCGGGGGTTTCCGACCTGCACACGAAACGTGTCCAGTCCCGTACATGTCCTGTACACTCCCGGAAATGAACCACTTTTTGTGTGCAGGTCGTGTACTGGACGTTATATGCCCGGACACGATCCCTGTACATCCCCGTACACGGCAGGAAATGGCCGTGCACCGCTCCGTGTGTTGCTGGAATATGCATAATTTAGCGGCAATTATCACCTAATTATTCTCCACACGGCAGCGGAAATTCGCCGTGTACGGGTCGGACATGCCGGTACTACACCCCCCCCCCGGCCAAAACCCGCCCCGCTCTCGGGACCGGTTGCTCCCGTTCCCGGGACCCGTTGCTCCCATTCCCGGGGCCCGGCTGTTCCCGTTCTCGGGACCCCACTGCACGCACTACGGGGACCCCCCTTCCCGCTCCCGGGGCTTCGCTGCCCGGCTCCCGAGAAATCGCTTCCCCCGCTCCCGGGACACATTTCGATGTTTTAGGAACACATTTCATTCATAAAAAAGTAATACATGTTTATACTTCATTCATCGTTTTATTGGTATAAACAGGATCGCCATTTACAGACTGACAAAAATAACGCTCTATGTATAGTGTATACACGTTATGCACTATGCTAACACTATACAATAATGTAACCTGGTACAAAAATGTGTAGCCGAAACATAGAAACAATAGCTTTTTTCCGAACTAGCCTTCCAGGGACTAGACTTTTAAAGTCGTTGGACCCGGTGTAAACTCAGAAATTACTAGTAATTAACAGATTTCTCTAACTTTAAAAAGTAAACTAACATCACATCTCATCACAGTCACCTCCAAATAGAAGTTCATTTTAGCAAAAAATGTCAAAAAGTAACTAATACTGACATATCATCAGGTTAAAAGAGGAAAATAGCCCTCAGATCTTGAAAGTTAATGGCGCTTACACAAACAGTCAAAAGACTAAATTTTCAATAAACAAAGAAGGCCTCAAACAAAGTTCTTCAAAATACAGGTACGTGTAGCAAAAACATAATTGCAGACCTAACATGAAGTTAAATGAGGCTTGGCAGAAAACAATATCACGTCATTACAAAAAAGATCATTTGCTCAGAAATTAATTACATGAACACGTATTCAATTTACAATGTCGTTAAAGACAAGCTGTCGGTTTCGTAAAGTTTGCGTTGTCGCCTCTACAAAATGAGGCTTGTTGTAGATTTCAGGCCAGGAGGTATGGCCCCCCTTGCTTCAGGGGATCATAGCGAAACGTTTTCATCCTGGAAGGACAAACTGCCCCCTGTCTGTCTGCGGGATGGCGTGGTGATGGTGTCGGTTGTGATCGCAGTCAGGCCGGAGCGACATGCTGGGCGCGGGGTGCACCCCGGGCGGGAGTGCAGCGGGGCCGGCCTGGGTCTTCGGAGCCTGCCGGGCGCTTTAACACAGCACCCTCGCCTTTAGATCTGAGCCTGGGTGTGCAGTCTGCCTGTTTGCCTCCAGCCTGGCCTGCAGGACATGGAAAAACGAAAATCTAAGTCAAAAGTCGAAGGCATTTTTGAATTTCATTTGAAGTTACGTGTACATGTACTAGACGTTTTATAAACAAGCCTGGCAAAGATGCGGACGTCTGTATGGACACCGATTTCGAGGAGAAGTCATTTATCATTTTTTAACGAATGTTTTTAACGTCAGACAGCAACAATTTTGTCCAGATGAAAAGGTTCCATTCATCAAGCATCAACGTCTAATTGTTTCTTTTCATTGTAATCATGTGAACAATACAAACACAACATTTCCCTCGGTAATGAAAACAATTCAAATTGTCAAGAGCCTTGTCGGCTTTCGTATGCAAAGATATACATTTGCATAGACTCACCCTCTTCTGTGTGACTGCAGTCGCTTTTCTTTCTTTCTTTTCTGAGCTCTCCGACAGCCTGGCGATAAAGTTTCTTCAAATCGTCTCAAAAGTATCCCAAAATCCGCGCCTGAAAAAAAATACATATGTTCTGAGCAACATACAAACTATATCGATGTACTTCTAAGTAGAAATAATAAACTATGTTATTAATCAGTAAAAAAATAGTGTACACTTCTTGCCAAAATAAATATTTCTGCCGTAGGCACAACTTAGCCAAGGTTTTTAAACAACATGTTTAAGATATATGTAACGATAGTGCCGTATATATAATAGTATCCTTGTTTTAGCTTACCCTTCCTCCTGTCGGTTTCCTGGTTCCTTGCGGTGTTGTCGGCAAATTGTCGGCCCATGTAGTAGAGTCATTTCTTCCGTTGCGAAAACGAAGTAACAGAACGGAATGTTTGACGCCATTTTAGTTCAGGAACATACTAGTAATCTTTGCAAGCCGAGACAAACGTGTTTTGAAAAAGCAAACCGTCGTTGTGACAAAGCAAGATTCAAACGACCCACCAAAACAAAGCATCGCGGCTCTTATTGGCTGGTCCCGGTGAGAGCGAGATAGGATTGGTCGTCAATCATATAATCACGTGATCGCGTTCAATACTACAACGATCTTGTTTTTATATTATAGGTTTTAAGTTAAATCGCCTGTGCAGTCTGAGCACTTGGATGATAGGATGTTTCTGATTGTGTGAATGTATTTATTTCAAGGCAGACAAATGATCTTCATAATTCTAATTCGTCATGATTACATGGCTTTATTCGTTCTAGAATTACACAACTTGTTGCTCACTGAGTGAAATAAAACCGCACTTTAACTCCAACATAACCTTACTCTTTGTAAATGAATCCAAAATCCACAATTAATGTCATGAGGGTTGACTTGTTTTGCTGGATTTCAGTATTTTACCAGG